AAAGTCTATGTTGATTACATCGCTAATATCGAAACTGTGATCAGATGGTCAAATTTACGATAGTACATGGCTTAAATAAGCGTCCTCATCAAAACTTAATACAAATACCCTTAAAACTGTTCACGGGCGAATATTTTGTGTTGATTGCGCGGACGAAATCTTTTATCAACGACTTTTATACACTTATATCTGCGTCGAAAAAAAAACTTCTAATACAGGAATCGAGGAAAATTGTGGAAATCACAAAATGACCAGAGTGAAGTGTATGAATGTAATTAGATGCAAATTGTTAGACGCGACTCAGTAATTCTAAGTAATTCTAATTTGTCAAGAATTGCTGCTGCAGATACGGCGCTGCGTCTCAGAATTCGTTATTATTTCGTTATCACGTTAATCTATTTTTCTATTTTATTATTTCAGTCTTTCATTCGCACGTTTGGATTGCGATTACGGGGCGCAGCGGAATAATCTTTCATGTGTGGAGAAAAGCAATTTTGAAGCGGCGTGTCTTCCCGCAGCAATTCCATGCTTCGAGATAATATTTTGTAGACGAAAAACTCAGAGCTTCCATTTGAATCAAAATCGTCTGGAAGCGTCTTCCTTAATCTCAGTATACTGAGTTTGCAGAGATTTTGCAATTTCGTTTGTACATACGTCCACGAAACGAAAACTCATGACCGAGAGGTATCGGAGATATTTTTTTATCGCCATTTCATCGCTATTCTCGTGCATCTATCGAGTAAAATTCTAAGAGCCATCGAACGTATCAAATGAACGAGCTGTTCGACGAGGAATAACTATAATTTTGCATTGTTAAGGGTCGAGGTTTCGGAGTGGTGATTACGAAAGTTTATTGTTTTTCCGACAGTGTCAATTGACTTGCGTTCCCCGGAAAAATATTACGTACGAATTCCCGAAATTCCTTCAAACATAACATTCGACCCTTCCAGCGTGGAACTCTTTAAAGGCCTGAGAGAAAACGTCAATCGTTTTGCTTGTTGTAATTTTGTATTTATGCAAAGTAGTAAACCGTGTCCGAATTTGTATATTTCCATTTGCCGAAACATACTATTTTTTTAATTGTAACATCTGACCTATATATCCGATTCGATGTAATTAAACATCATTTTTGGCGCATTCATCATGTACGAATGAAGGAGGTCACACCACGTGCGGATTGATTTGCCACGCCTCCCTGATTTAATTTACCATATATCTAGATAGATATACCTTATCTATAACGATAGTTATAGTAGTGATTTTTTTATAATAAAACACGTTCCTAATAAATTATCTGTTCTTCATATGTCGTACGAATAAGCGTAACGATTGTATAAGGGCGATATTCTGATACCAAGTACTGTGGATATCGTTATCCGCTGAATGACGAAAATGTAAATTAGAATTAAACGGCCTCTCGTAACGTAAGGAAGACTAAAGAGCCTTCGGAGGAGAAGTTTACAATTTTCTAAGCT